TGCCGGCGACGAGTGGTGCCGGCGTGGGGGGAAGAAGCACGACATGACACCCACACCAACACATAATATACACACAAGTTAGCTTGAAAAGGGGATGAGGATGGATGAGGAATAAAGACTCCAACACACAGCCATGACTTGCCCGAAAGAACAATGAGACACGTTTGACCTCGCGGCCACAGATCGTGGTGATTGCGGTGATCATCCTGGCAAACTGGGGCGTCTTCTTCGTCAAGACTCTCATCGCCTAGGTGGCCCGGTCCACCGAACCACGGAAAGCTTAGACGCCTTTCAGTCGGTTCATGACGCTTCAATCGATGGGCTGAGTAGCAAAACACTGACTTCGCTCTTTCTTTTTTGTTTAAGCGGTGGGGGCGCGTGCTTTGATCCGCTCGCTGGCTCGCCGGCCCCCCCACAGTTCTGTCACCGGCGCAGGCGCCGAAAAAGCTCCGCGTCGCGGAGAAAGCGCCCGGACGTCGCGGAGGAGGTGGTGAACAGCGTTGGCAGGCACGGGGCGCTTTTGGCTTTTCGCTGCATCGCCATTTTTTTGGGAGTTAACAATCAGCGTGTGGCCGCTGTTTGACAGAGAAACCACACACATGTTATCGGTGGATGAGTTCTGGGACGTTTCAATCAATAAGTTGCATAGTGCCTGATCTGATATGGCGTGTGATCGGTTTGCCATGGTTTCTTTCCCGCCGCCCTTCAACGAAGACAGGAATAGAAGTAGAGGCTTGTCCACCTCGAATGAATTCAGGAAGTTCGATTGGGCAGCTTCGAAAGATGCCAAAGGCTTCTTCCCTTTATCTTGCTCATGCTGCTGTGAGCGGTGGCCTCGCCATAGAGGTGACAAGAGCATCTGAAATGACATGAACACTAATTATGAAAGTATTTTTCTGTAGAGCTGACTCCAACTTTTGCAGAGAAGTGTTCCTTCAAGGGAGAAAACTGGTCCATCGACTGACAGTTCCTCCGCTGTAAAATGAGCCGGGTCAGATTGCCAGGCTGATTGGGCCAGCAGATGCTTCACCAATGATGGCGGGCGCGAGCCTTGCAACAAGCTGCGGCAGGATCGAGTGGGAAGTGATTTTAACTCAACTCGTGAGTTGCATAGTGTACTAGTTTTCTCCAGGGACAGTCCTTCCTTCAAGAAATCCTGCTGCAGCTGTTTGGCAGTTTTCCTCTGATTTTGCAGTCCTTTTGCCGATGCCGAGCAGGATCTGTGTAGAATTCTGCCCAGCGTGCACTGCTCGGCTGTGACCAACCGACTCGCCAAGCAAAAAGGTCCTGGTCCGGTTTGGGCACCTGCAAGTGAAATGACGATAGGCCTGACTCAAGAGATCTCCTCACGGAGGGCTATGCGGATCCTGGATTCCCTTACTTGCTTAGTAAACCATATCACAAATGATTGGGCTGGGTGCCTGCAAAGAACTGTGGGTTTGAGTGCAAAGGACTCCTTTGTTCAACTACGCCTAACTACGCAATGGGTCGATGTCAAGCAGTTCCTCGAAACCACACAGTTTCTGCGGCAAAGAGCATCACACATTCCACAGACACAAGAGCAACACACCTATATAGACCTAAACAGTAGACGGTGCTTACGAATCCGTACTTTTGAGGTATATTCTTTCTCTCTCTCTCTCTCAGTCAGCGCCTCACCTAAAGCCACATTGGTGAGGGAAAACCGCATTGGCACAACAACTGCGACGGTACTGTTTATGTTTGCTGTGACACGTAGATGAAGTAGAAGCCCGTTGGTGAAACCCCAGAACAGGTGACACTCATGTTTGTGAGCCTCCGGCCAGTGGTTGTGTGGGGGTTGATACAAGAGGGTTGGCTCTGGTAGCTGCTCCTGTACTCTGTACCATATATGCCTACATTGGGGTGGTTGAAAAGGTGTCAATGTAGGCATGCATTACATACATGGAGTACTCTATGGATCATAAGATGTTTCAGTCTTGGCTGCCTTAGCCCTTCGGAACGCCAACTAAGATCAAGAATGAAACTACTCGAACTACGCGAGGATGAATGACCCACAGCGCTGTGTAGCCTGAGAGCAAGGATCCCCCAGTGGAAGCTGTCGGCACCCCAGTCTGAAGGTCTCTGAAGGTCTTTGGTTTTGCATCACGTGGTTCTCATGTTCAGGAATATGAAGGAATTTTCCAACCGGAGCACATCGTAGGGGGGTTTTGGTTTAAGGGCCTTTGGCTCACCTTGAGTGGATCTTCCCAAGATGTTCAGATGTTCACCCAAAACTTGGGGAGTGTGCGATCTACCTTTTCTGAGACATGTACTTACTGCAAATTTAGTTTTTGCCCCTGCGGCCCGGCAGTGCTTGGCCATGCAGGCGCTTGCGAGGAAAAAGGTCCTGCACCTTTGGCCGTGAGCTGGGCGAGCCAAAACCTCACCAAACCATTTGTTTTTTGGTGTTTGTGAGCCATCTCTGGTCCTGCAGTGGTGTTCATTCCTATCCCTGTTTGGTGCCTCAGCTTGGCCATGGGTTGAGATTTAGGGAAGGACATTTGTGGGTTTTTGGAGCCATCAAAGAAATGCCTCCATTGCAACAACAAGTTCTCCCATGGCTCTACCTCAAGGCGCAATTTTAGTGCTCTACATAAATAAAGAGACTAATTTTTCTTGCTCCATTTGGTCGCTGTGATCAACGAGCCATGGAAGCAGGCAAATAGGCATTGGATGATTGATTTGCTGATTCAGTTGGAGACAAATCCTGTAATTACATGGCAGTCGGGAGGAACAATCTTTCAACTTCAATGAATGAGGTAATAAGCTTCATGCACATCTCTCCAGCCTCTGACACATGCACAGAATCGGTTTCCGTGCCCGCTGCTCGACCGAATTGCATGGTTAAGGTCTGACCCACCTCCATCTTCAATTCTTGTGGCTGTAGCGGTCAACCGAACCCATCTACTGACTGGTGCTCAGGCTTCGAAGAGAGACCACCCGATATTTCCAGCGATATTCCATCATGTTCAGCGCTTTTGAACCCCAAAAAAGTTTCGCATCTTCCATCATCTTCATGTCATTTCACACGCCCATGAGAGACCTTTTGCGCCGCTTCCACCGGAGTTTCTCCGGCCGTTCGTCCGCCCCAGCCTGGTGGGTGACGGGTTGGCCGCGGCGGCGGCCGGGCAGCGTGGCGGAAGCGGAGCTGCTGGCGCCCTTGGCGGAGCTGTTGATGCCGCAGACGCCCATCACGGAGACTTGGGGGTAAAAGGGTGCCTGGTTGGTTCCAAATGATTCCACCATATTCCAAGGTATGCCGTATTCCTCCATATTCTTCAAAGGGACCTTTTCTTGGCATGTGGGCTTACCCTCAAACGACCGGATGAACTCATTGAGTAACATGGGTTGGGCAGAGTAAATGCAGTTCCAAAGAACACCGTTTTCTGGCTGTGGAAGTTCCACTTAAGTAAGGTGACAGTGACAGAACCAGTTCGACTTGCAACAATCCGAATTAAATTCTGCTTGTCCGGGACCAGCTTCCGAATCTTTTTCGAGGAACTCTTCCGGAGCTTCCCTTCGCCAAGCAACTGGGCTGGAAACTACCTAGAGCCGGACTTGGCAGCATTCGGAGTGCTGAAGGATCCGCAAGCCGCGTTCTTCGTGGAGTACGATGGCTACTGGCGACATGCGGAAGCGAAAGGCATGAACATGGACCGCCTGAAAAATGCTGCGTTGCTGGCTTTTGCACCTCCTGGATCGTATGTGCTTCGGATCAGCCACACTGTAAGTGAACCATTTGACGACAAAGTTCTATGGATTTGTGTGGACACGTGGCAAGAAGGTGATCACAAGTCGCTTTCGAGGGCTTTGAACAACGTTTTGGTGCAGACAACTGCCAAACTTGAAGAGGTTCTACATCAGAGGCTTTTAAGGCGATGGCAGTTGCATATGCGAAAGGACACGGTTCGATTATCTCATGCTGCCCAACTTGTCACAAACGCTGCAATGACTGCACGAGGTGGCAACACCACAGATGAGATTTCTGCATTTTTGGTCCAGGATGGATTCAACGAAACTGATATTGAGCTGATGCAACAGCATGCATTGGCAAAGAAGCCCTCGATTGAACACCAGCTAAAGCCCAAGTTGCATTGGCTGTGGGACTTGGGATTGAGCAAAAGTCAAGTTGCTAAAGCAGTTGCAGTGGTTCCTCCAATTCTTGGCCTGAGCATCGAGCGAAACTTGAAGCCGACAGTGCAGTGGCTTCTAGACCTAGGCTTGAGCAAGAGTCAAGTTGCCAAAGCTGTTGCAGTGCATCCTCAAATTCTTGGCTACAGCATCGAGCA